GAAGGTTGCTCGGATCGACAAGCTGAAGGGAACAACGGCTAAAACGCTGTGGTAATAACAACAGATATGAGGATAACAGTTAACTTGTAAATAATAACCACTTGTCGCGGAAAGGCAGCCGGTGTAAAACATTATTTTTTTCAATTTCTGATACATATTAAAATACCAGCACTTGTTCAAATAAATCTTGTATCAGAAATTGAAAAAATTAATGTTTCACACCGGCTGGGTTATTTAGTGCCCAAATCTAAATATTTTGAACACAATTTTATGGCTTGAACTAAATATATTTTGAACACAATTGTATGCCTTCGACTACAGATAAAATGTATTATTGGTAATTTCACTATAAATATTATTGGTAATTTTTTATATAAATGTGTAATATTTTTATAAAATATGTAATTAATTATATAAGAATGTAATTTTGTACTTTCATATTATTTTGTTTTTGATTGTGGGTTCACTATTTATCAATAGCTGAGATCCTAACAGGTGTTAACCACCCTGGGTGGATCTGGGAACAACAGCAATTAAGAGGTGGTTTCACTCATCTCAGAACCTCCAATCTCCCAATCAGAAGGCGTGCTGCCGGATGTAGTTAATCGTCATACCCAGGACTCGTATATTTGACACTAAAATAAAGAAGACTACCAAAAAAAGGGGGGGGGAGCTATTACACGAATAAAAATAATTCATGGGCAAATTACTCTAGAGCTAGCGTGGAAGAACACATCTTGAAGACGATTACCGATAAAGATATCAGCATCTTTACTTATAAACGTTATAGACATCGTTTTCCCCATTGTTTCTGTTTTCTGCAAGAATTCCCCCCACCTCTCATTGCCCAGGTATCCCAGACATTTTATCTGTTGCTTAAAATGGTTGGTCTTCTGTACCGCTCCAGTAACTATCCGACTCCTTCTATTATCTTCTACCTTTACAAGATGAGGCCCAAAACAGAGCACTGCCATATATGGGCAGGAGCTGCCCAGTCTTCACTTTCCAGTATTGACAAAGTCCAAAAGCGTCTCCACGTCCTTGTGGGTGATGAATTATTTTCCACCCTGCAACAACTTTCCCCAGAGACGAAACGTCACCAGCCTCTTGCTGCTCTATCGTTATTTCCATGAAAAGTGTTCAGACGAACTACATTACTTAGTTCCACCAATTCTAAACTTCACGGCTAAGATCCGACATTCCATTCGTATTCCATTGATGAGATGTATGTTCCACTCCAGAAACTTCTTCCCACAAACCGCTGCTTCGTGGAATCGACTCCCAAGTGGATGATTTCCCGATCACAACAATCTTAATCTGTTCAAGTCTAGGGTTAAGCAATATCTTCCTCATATATCCCTATAAACTGTGACTCTTACTCTGCTACCCTTTATCTCGAGTGGCTCTTGGGTCTTGTACAGGGTGAACATTATTGTAAAATAAAAAAGACTCTTCTTTATATTTGAAGAGATATTACCAAGAATTCAGTACTGTTTTCTTTGTTTCTAAGGACCTAATTTCTTAATACTTTGCTTAGCTTATGAAAGACATCATTCGTTATTGCGATGTATTTTTAGATTTTTATTTTCATTCTAATTTGTTTTCAAGACTTTGAGATAAATTTTGGCAAAGATTCAATGTATTACTGACTCTCCACCCATCTTCAGGTGGAAATTTACCCAGTTCCAGACCTTTTTTTCTTTAATGTTGTATCTCTTCAGTACGTAGGCGATAAGGACTTACTAAAGATTCTAATTTGTGAATTGGTATCCGTTTCTGTGAAAGATGGTGGAGTGGTTTGCAGTTGCCTTCTCTGTCGTTTGTAATTTAGTGTCTTCCTTCTTTTACACTGGTTGTCACGCAAGGCTTGAGAGCCCAGTCTACCCTTTTATTTAACCCATAGCTGGAGGACGAATCGATGGTTTCATGCCTTTCCCAATAGTATTCTGCGAAAGTAAGCGCAACAGAGGAATCCAGAATTTGAACGCGTCTCACAAAGTCCAGTTTCTGCGCTGATAACCGTTATCCTACTCGTACATGCTATCAACTCTGTACGTGTTTAAATGTGTACGTATTGATGTGTCTGTGTATGTGTGTCTAAATGTGTACGTATTCATGTGTCTGTGTTATGTTACGCATGTTTGTGTTCTTGTGGATGTATGCTTTTGGACGTTTATGTGCTTATAAGAATATTTGTGTGTGTGTGTGTATGTATACATGTATGTATCATTTCTGATTAAAATCCTTCCTTTGATCTCCAAGTATGTCATCGACCAATCGTCTTACACTGACTAAAACGAAATTCTTTTTAAAAATATAACATTTTAAAAAAGATTTTTTCTTCTAATTTAATTACATTTAAAATAAAATAAAATTTTGTCTGGAAAAGATTTAGTGTGATAAAAAAAAGTGATCATCGATTTCTCTCTGAATTATTAAAACGACATCCTATTATTATTCAATGTGATTTTCAGACTAGCATCTTTATCTTTGTTGTTTTTATAACACTGTTTCAGCCAATGTATTCGCGAACCATCCTGAGGTATCTACTTCGATCGCTAATAATTTATAATTAATGATTAAATAATGAAAATTTAGAATCTAGCGGCGGCTATATTTGAAACCGATACACTTAAAAACAAAAATTATCTTCTCATATTGCAGCCCACTTACTTTACCACGACTCCACCCCCCACCTCTGCTGAGCGTTATTCCGTTTCTGATAACAAAGAAAAAATGGATGCTTGAACATTAGATTTCTCAAAATTCTAACCAAAGACGGTTTAGCAATTTAATTATTATGCTTTGCATAAAAATCAGAACGAAAGCGATTGTCAGTGATCAGGAATTAAATTAAACATTACTTATAGAATTGGGGGAGGCACGGTGGGGTAATGGGTAGCGGATCACATTGAGGAACTGGAAAGTCGAATTCGAATTCCAATCAAATCGATTAGGTTCACTTACTTCTCCCCCCCGCCCAGCTATGGATAAATAGCGGGACAGATCGGGTTCTATAGCCTTGGATGGCAACTGGTCTGCCGCAGAAAGAAATGGCAACCTGAAAAAATCTACCACGTCAGTCATGTATCAAAAGTTACATGATCGCCTAAGCGTGTATCACGCATAGCACATAATTAAAAAAAAAATAGAATTTTTCCATTATATGTATAATGTAAACGTATTGCTAATTATTTTATTATAGAAATATATTCAAAATTAGGAAGAAAGTGATTTCCAGTGGTGATGAACTAAGGTAGTTTTATTAATTTTTAATAAAACACTTTATTAAATTTATCGGAGAATGTTAACTTAAGGGAAATTGTCTAATGGGTATATGGTATCTTACAGTTATATTTTGCAGTTGGAAACAAAGAAAGTGGTGAACTGCTATGTAAAATCTAATCTTCTATATGACATTGTTGGAAGATTTCACAGAAGAAGAGACTGAAGTGAGAGAGATATGATTTTATCAAAGATTGATTTAGAATACCATAAGCTTAACATAAGAACAATGAGGAAGTTTTAAGGTAAATAGGAAGTACAAAGCAACTGATAATTATAATAAGAAAACGCTTTAATTAATTCTTTTTAATTAAAAGCGAAGAAAAATAGCTTGGCGATGTCCGTCCAGATTTCTGGGATGATCCTTATTTACACTGTTAACATTCGGACTATTGTCCTCATCTTTGTTGTTTTTATTACAACGTTTCAATCGTTGTACTCACCGGCCTTCCTCAGGTGTATATCGATCCGGGTATCCTATAGGGAAATCCGAACTGGACTTTTAATTCAATCTACAAGGTTAGACTGTTCTCGTTCCACTGCCCATGTCTAGAGTAACCTCATCTTGTTCATATGACCGTCCAGTTATTGCTCGCCCTGTTTCCACTGTCTAAGTATACACTTCCCGGACCAGGGATTGAACTCACAATCACAAAACTCACGAACGCTTTAATCCACTAGGCTATCGTCCCGTACGAATTCCCTGTAGGTTACTCGGATCAATATACACCTGATGAAGGCCGGAGGGCAGAACGACCAAAACGTTGTGATAACGACAACAAAAATGGGGACAATGGTCCGGATGTAAATAGATGATAGCTTAGTGAATTTAACACTTACAAGATATATTAAAGACAAGACTAGCAACAAGTCACCCACTTAAAAGGTTTGTGCGAAAAGATGGCGGAAGACGGAGAAAAATGAACGGAAAAGTCACAAAAGTTAAAGTAATTCTTTGGTTATCCGGACGCCGATTATCCGGACACCGATTATCCAGACGTCGATTGTCTGGACGCCGATTATCTGGACGCCGATTATCCGGACGCCGATGATGCGGACGTCAATTATCCGGACGCCGATTATCTGGATGTCCATTATCTGCACGTCGATTAACCGGACGCCGATCATGCGGACGTCGTTTATCCGGACGTGAAAAGAAGAGAAAAACTGAAACCATTTGAACTAAAACCATTCTCAGAACCATCTATTTTAATCCAGCTTTGGGAGTTAGTTACCCCCAGCCCACAGGAAGAAAATGTGAAGCCAACCGGAAACAGACAAAAAATTGAAACATCTTTCATAAAAAAAATAAACTGCGAAAAACCATGGACAAAGTGTTGGTAAATGTTATTTTTTGATATGCTAAATTTCTTTCGGAAAATCACTTTTTTTTTCTTTCTTTTTCGCTATTCAACTATCCGGAATTTTGAGTTATCCAATCATATTTTTTAACCCTTGTCCAAAAGGGGTCCGGATAATCGAGAAAGTGCTTTACTTAGGGTAACAAAAGTCAAGAAGCGACACGCTCGCCCGCGTCTTGAATGGATATGGCGTACGAAAGAAGAGGAATGATTTGTTAAAGCAGTTTTTAGCTCATACACCACGGCGGGACAACCTACCCTAGAGATTCAAATTGACGGTGTGATTGGAATCGAAATGGTGACTGGAAAATTTAATAAATTAAAAATTCATACGGATTGTTGCAGTAATGAATTTACGTTCATATCAGGTTGAAACACCGGTTACCGTACGATCATCGAAGTGAAGCAATGTCGAGCCAGGTCAGTATCTAGATGGGTGACCGCTTGGGAATACCAGGTGCTGTAAACTTTGATGTACGGGTGGTGTAATGGTTAACGCTTCGGAATTGGAAAACGGAAGGTCGAGTGCCAATTCCCGTTAGCTTTGTTATATTCACTTACAGATAAATAAAGTATAAACCGACCTCTTCTTGCTCCAGCTATGGGTTAATTAGTAGAATTTGTGCCAGTAAACCATTATTATCTCAAAATATTCTTACAATCTAAAAATATTTTCTGGTTTTAAATAACCCGCAGAAAGGAAATTTCCTGAATATTTAAATAAAGGGTATTTGAAATAAGGATATCCTATTTTTCTCAAACAGTGAATAATCGTCCCAACCCTTCTATTTTAAACCGAAAGACTCTGTCTTTTCGAATCAAATTAATATTCATGTTATTCAGACGATATTTTTGATTGGCTGAATGAAAGTGACGTAAATTTTAGTTATTCAGACGATAATAATTTCAGTTATTCAGACGATATTTTTGATTGGTTGAATGAATGTGACGTCAGATATTATACAGTCCAGTTAGAGGACTTTGACAGTTTCGTTAATCGGCAAGATGCGAGTTTTGTAATCGAAGCTTTTTTTTTTAATCGCCTGAGACGAGAAAATGTGATTTGAACTCAGTGGATCAATACGTGCGAATAAAACAATTTGCATTGAATGTATTGATTTTCAAAGTTACTTTAAAAAATAATGTCAAATTAAAGAAATTATTTATAATTTATGTTTAAGCATTTTCCTTTGCAACGTTAAAAAAAACATTTTTCAAATTTGTAAAATATTCCACTTTATTTCATTCCTTCATATTTTTTATTTTTATTTTGGACTATTGATTTTTAGTTACTGAGCTCTCCATATAGAGAATGTATCTACATATTGATCAGCAGAAGACCACATTTAAGCAATAAATACAGAGGATTAATGGTCAACTTAGAACGTTTGCATTTTGGAAATTTAAAAACTGAGTTAAGATATTATCGTGGCCGATTTGTCAAAGGTGTTGACTTTTTGATTATATCGGCTTAGAGAATCTACCACAGTTTGAGGTACAGTTGGGAAGTAGTTGAAAATCATTGCACAGTTTGACTTATGGACTGTGGGTGAAATTTTGTAGCAGGAAATGTGACCGAGGATTTCAGCAGAGGAAAGTAGCTGAGAATGAGAGTACAGGTTGAATTAAGCATTGTGGGTGAAATTGGGTAGCCGGAATTGTGACCAAGGGTTTCAGCGTTGGGGAGTAGCTGTAAATCATAGCACAGGTTGAATTAAGCATTTTGGGTGAAATTAGGGGGCCGGAATTGTGACTGATTGTTTCAGCGTTAGGAAGTAGCTTAAAATCATAGCACAGGTTGACTTAAGCATGGTGGGTGAAATTTTGTAGCCGGAATTATGACAGAGGGTTTCAGTGTTGTGAAGTAGCTGAGAATCATAGTCCAATTTGAATTAAGCATTGTGGGTGAAATTGGATTGCCGGAATTGAGGCCGAGGGTTTCAGCGTTGGGAAGAGTTGAAAATCATAGCACAGGTTGACTTATGCATAAGTCAACTTGTGCTATGATTTTCACTCGAGTGAAATTTTGTAGCCGGAATTGTGATCGACGGTTTCAGCGTTGGGGAGTAGCTGTAATATATAGCACGAGTTGATTAAGTATTATGGGTGAAATTGGGTAGCCGGAAATGAGGCCGAGGGTTTCAATGTTGGGAAGTAGTTGAAAATCGTAGCACTAGTTGAGTTAAGCATTGTGCGTGACATTGGGTAGCCGGAATTGAGGCCGAGGGTTTAAGCGTTAGCAATTAGTTGAAAATCATAGCACAGGCTGGCCTAAGTATTGTGGGTGAAATTAGCTGGCCGGAATTGTGACTGATTGTTTCAGCGTAAGGAAGTAGCTGAATATCATAGCATAGGTAGATTAAGCATTGTGTGTGAAATTGGGTTGCCGTAATTATCCCGAGTGTATCAATGTTGGGTAGTAGTTTAAAATCCTAGCACAGGTTGACTTAAGTATGGTGAGTGAAATTTTGTAGCCGGAATTGTGATCGAAGTTTTCAGCGTTGCGTAGTAACTGTAAATCATAGCACTGGTTAGATTAAGCATTGCGGGTGAAATTGGATAGCCGGAATTGGGAACGAGGGTTTCAGCGTTGGGAATAGATGAGAATCATAGCACAGGTTTACTTAAGAATTGTGGGTGAAATTGGATAACCGGAATTGTGACCGAAGTTATTAGCGTTGGGAATAGTTGAAAACTATAGGACAAGTTGACTTATGCACTGTGACTTAAATTTTGTAGACGGAAATGTGATCGAGGGTTACAGCGATGGGGGGTAGAAGTAAATCATAGCACAGGTTGAATTAAGCATTGTGGGTGAAATTGGGTAACCGGAATTGTTGCCAGGGTTTCGGCGTTGGGAATAGTTGAAAATCATAGCAGAGGTTGAATTAAGAATTGAGGGGGAAATTGGGTGGCCGGAGATGAGGCCGAAAGTTTCGATGCAGGGAAGAAGTTGAAAATCGGACACTAGTTGAGTTAAACATTGTGGGTGATATTTTGTAGCCGGAATTGAGGCCGAGGGTTTCAGCGTTAGGAAGTAGTTGAAAATCATAGCGCATGCTGATTTAAGTGGGTGAAATTAAGTGGTCGAATTTGTGACTGAATGTTTCAACGTTAGGAAGTAGCTGAAAATCATAGCACAGGTCGATTAAGCATTGTGGGTGAAATTGGGTGGCAGGAATTGTGACTGAATTTTTCAGTGTAAGGAAGTATTTGAAAATAATAGCACAGGTTGAGTTAAGCATTGTGGGTGAAATTGGGGTGCCGGATTTGTAACTGAGGGTTTCAGCGTTGGGAATAGCTGAAAATCGTAGCACTTGTTGAGTTAAGCATTGTGGGTGAAATTGTGTTGCCGGAATTGTGACCGAGCATTTCAGCGATGGGAATAATTAAAATCGAAGCACTGGTTGAGTTAAGCATTGTGGGTGAAATTGGGTTGCCGGAACTGTGACCGTGGGTTTTAGGGTTGGGAATAGTTGAAAATCGTAGCACTTGTTGAATTAATTTTGTCTGATTGTTTCAACGTTAGGAAGTAGCTGAAAATCATAGCAAAGGTAGATTAAGCATTGTGGATGAAATTGGGTGGCAGGAATTGTGACTGAGTTTTTCAGGGTAAGGAAGTATTTGAAAATCATAGCACAAGTTGAGTTAAACATTGTGGGTGAAATTGGGTTACTGGAATTGAAACCGAGGGTTTTAGCGTTGTGAATAGCTGCAAATCGTAGAAATGGTTGAGTTACGCATTGTGGGTGAAATTGGGGTGACGGAATTGTGACCGAGGGTTTCAGCGTTAGGAATAGCTGAAAACCGTAGCACTGGTTGAGTTAAGCATTGTGGGTGAAATTTGGTGGCCGGAATTGTGACCGAGGTTTTTGGCGTTGGGAATAGTTGAAAATTGTAGTACTGGTTGAGTTAAGCATTGTGGGTGAAATTGCGTAGCCGGAATTGTGACTGATTGTTTCAGCGTTAGAAAGTATTTGAAAAACTTAGCATAGTCTGAATAAGAATTGTCGGTGAAATTGTGTAGCCAGAATTGTGACCGAGGCTTTCAGCGTTAGGAATCGTTAGCACTGGTTGAATTATGCATTGTGGGTGAAATTGGGTTGCCGGAATTGTGACCTAGGGTTTCAGGCTTGGAAATAGTTGAAAATCGTAGCACTAGTTGAGTTAAGCATTGTGGGTGAAATTTGGTGGCCGGAATTGTGATCTAGGGTTTCAGCGTTGGGAATAGTTGAAAATCGTAGCACTGGTTGAGTTAAGTGAATTTGGGTTGCTGGAATTGTGACTGGGTGTTTCACCGATGGGTAAAATTAAAATCGTAGCCCTAGCTGAGTTAAGCATTGTGGGTGAAATTGGGTTGCCCGAATTGTGACCGGGGGTTTCACCGATGGGTAAAATTAAAATCGTAGACTTGGTTGAGTTAAGCATTGTGGGTGAAATTGTGTTGCCGGAATTGTGACCGGGGTTTCACCGATGGGTAAAATTCAAATCGTAGCCCTGGTTGAGTTAATCATTGTGGGTGAAATTGGGTTGCAGGAATTGTGACCCAACGATGAGTTGAAATTAAAATCGTAGGCCTGGTTGAGTTAAGGGGGTGAAATTGGGTTGCCGGAATTGTGACCGGGGGTTTCAACGATGGGTAAAATTAAAATCGTAGGCCTGGTTGAGTTAAGAATTGGGGGTGAAATAGGTTTGCAGGAATTGTGAACTAGGGCTTCAGCGATGGGAATAGTTGAAAATATTAGCCCTGGTTGAGTTAAGCATTGTGGGTGAAATTGGGTTGCCGGAATTGTGACCAGGGGTTTCACCGATGGGTAAAATTAAAATCGTAGCCCTGGTTAGGTGAAGTATTGTGGGTGAAATTGCGTTGCCGGTATTGTGACCGGGGGTTTCACCGATGGGTAAAATTAAAATAATAGCTGTGGCTGAGTTAAGCATTGTGGGTGAAATTGGGTTGCCGGAATTGTGACCGAGGGTTTAAGCGAACGGAATAATGAAAATCGTAGCCCTGCTTGAGTTAAGCATTGTGGGTGAAATTGGGTTGCCGGAATTGTGACCCGGTGTTTCACCGATGGGTAAAATTCAAATCGTAGCCCTGGCTGAGTTAAGCATTGTGGGTGAAATTGGTTTGCCGGAATCGGGACCGGTGGTTTCAACGATGGGTAAAATTATAATCGTAGACTTGGTTGAGTTAATCATTGTGGGTGCAATTGGGTTGCCGGAATTGTGACCGGGGGTTTCACCGATGGGTAAAATTCAAATCGTAGCCCTGGTTGAGTTAAGCATTGGGGGTGAAATAGGTTTGCAGGAATTGTGAACTAGGGCTTCAGCGATGGGAATAGTTGAAAATCGTAGCCCTGGTTGAGTTAAGCATTGTGGGTGAAATTGGGTTGCCGGAATTGTGACCAGGGGTTTCACCGATGGGTAAAATTAAAATCGTAGCCCTGGTTAGGTGAAGTATTGTGC